CCTAAAGTCTAATCCTGTGGTTTTATTTTTTGTCTCTATTAAACAGCACTGATAAACAAGGAACAATAAATAATTATTGAATGGTGTAGTTTGAAAAGTCTTCATACATCCAACAAGCATTTACTGAGTAGTTCTTATTCTAGGTACTTTGCTAATGGAGAGAAATGTAATGAACTAGACAAAATTCCTGTCCCCAAGGAATTTTTCTAGCAGTGAATCCTTTTCTTACTTGCCTGTCTTAAATATGTGAAACTTGTTTGTATTTCCAGATAAAAGAATTGCTCATTTCACCCTCCTGTTAGCACTTCCAGACCTAGTAAACAGACTATTAAATAAAATCTAGAAGATTATTTTAGCTTGAGTGGTTATATTACATAAACAATGAGCCTCTGTAATTAATGAGGTAACATTTAACACTTCATGTGGCTATATATAATATTGTTTTTAGCATATACTACTTCCTACTGATCACTCTTTGGGCAGATAAAAGTTATAAATTCCAAGGCCATAAACTGTTCGCAAGTCCTATTCCAGTCTCTTCTTTATTTAGCACTCTCACCATTAAAACATGTCTTTATTGTGCAATATAAATCTGTAAGCATTAATAATAGAAAGAATTTCAAGTGATTTATTCTGGTTTCCCAGCAGTTGGCTATTTCATTTTCCTTCACACTGTTCTCTTTATCCCTTGGATAAGAATCTAAATGCTCCTGATCTCTATAATACTTTTTTTTTTTTTTTTGCCTATTCAATCTCTAAGAAGTGTTCTCTAATACCACACATAGCTTCTGATGTGCCATGTTACTTTTAATTACTGAACATATCAGCAAACATGATTTGGGGTCAGAAAGTGTTTGAAAATTTGGTACCATGCAGTGGTTGTAGAATACAACTCCCCCAGATTCAAGTCCTGACCATGCCACTCATTAGCTATATGATCCAATCAGTAACTGAATGTCTCTTAACTTCCACTATAAAATGGAATAATAATTCACTTTTATTGGATAGTGGAAAAGTTGAAGGAGATAATGTATAAATCAACCAGCACAGTGGGTGGCACAAAATAAGTGCCCAATAAATGACAGCTATTATGATTTTTTAATAATCATCATTACCACTAACTGAATTCCCCTTAAGTGTCAGAGACTCTGCTAACTGCATTCTATGTATTACCTTTTTAAACTTACTCCACTATATGGGTATCTCAT